GTTAACGGATAAAAAAGATACAAAGAATACGTTGCACACTTCTCTAGCCACCAGACAGACATTTCAGCGTACTACGTCATTGGTAACACATCTACATTAGAAGTTTATCCATCGACCAAGTGTGGATCGACTGCGCTCCACGTTTATTTTAGTAGCTGGTGTGCAACAGAGAATGGAAGAAGACCCGAACCCATACGTTACCGAGGAAGGACCTTGGCTTTCTGGCTTAAAAAATCAAACTCGTGCAAGAGTTGTTAAGTTTACTTTTGGTTGAAGAGGTAAAAAGAAATATCGCTTTTAGGGCGATGCTAATCCACAAGGAATTAGGTGTACTCTTCTTCTTTTTTAATTTAACAGTTATCATATATCTTCCGCAGAACCTTTCTCTCGAAAACTCGTCACGTTGACTCATCAGATGTCGTCGTCCAAGCCTCTGCACCATATAGCAGAACGGGAATTATGAGTGACTTACCTGTTGGCAAGAGTTATCCTGCGTTGGGTTTCGAGAGTGCACCTCGTTGATTTACTTATTTCTGCAAACATGAAACTTTTTTGTGGAAGATTTGAAAGATGTTTATATCGAAGACTTTAGGTTCTATAAAGAAGGCAATCAATTTATTGAAGGGTTGGAACTCTTGTTGAGTACATTACCACGCATTGCCGGCCTATGGCGTGACCTCAAGATTGCAAATTAGCACTGCTGGATTATTTTTTGTAAGGTTATATAGAGTCGCAACGTAAATCAGATGCACGCCTTAGAAAAAAATATTCGGCGCGCTATTGCTGACGAAAGGCCCAAGTGGTTCACAATATGATCGAAAATCAGTCCTCTCACCCCGAATTTAATCGAGTCCGCTGAGGCGTTCTCTTGCCCAAAGTCATACTTAAACCATAATGGTAAAACTTCAGCAAAAGTAAACATGACTTTTTGAATGTAGCACCCCCTGGTGGCGCCTTCTAAATGTCGACTGGTGCGTTAGAATCTGCTATGTTTATCGAATGCCCAGTGAAATTTCATTAATTGGAAGTGAAGTTATTGCGTTTTAAGTGTCAGTATGTTTGTGTTATCGGTGCGAAAATGAGCTTCGAACAAAGAGCCAACATTAAGTTTTGTTTTAAAAATTATAAAACTTCTATCGAAACGTTCTAATTGATGAAACAAGTTTATGGCGATGATTGCCTATTCCGTGGCAGAGTGCACGAGTGGTTTCAACGTTTTTAAAATGTCCGTTAGGGCATAAATGACGATCAGCATGTGGGCCAATCAAAATCCATCATCGCCGGAAATTCATCGAAACTGTGCGTGAATTCCTCAGTCAATCAATGAGCCGAAATTATCATTGAAATTCATGAAAATGGAATTGAACATCTCCTAAATATCGATTTATCGCATTTTGATCGAACATTTAGGCTTATGAAAGGTGTGTGCGCGGTTTGTTCCGCACAAATTGACTGACGACCAAAAATTTGCTCAGAATCCAACATACGAAGGAGGATTATTTGACCAAAAATCACATTTTAACCATTAAGCACTCCAAGTATTCACCTGATATGGCACAGTTGGATTTTTTCCTCTTTAAGAAAAATGCATTTGCCCAGAAGGAGACTATTTTGAATAAAATAATTTGATTTTGCCGAGAAAATCATTTGTTCTGTTTTTTTTTTTTTTTAATCCTGTTTACTTTGGAACACACCTTGTAGAACTCTTTTACCTGTTCAAACTGCTTAAAGACTATTAATTAGACAATAATCTTTTGCTTCAAAGGCAACGTATGTTACTATTTGACTATACGGTAATAGGCGCAATTATTTGCTCGGTCTTATTTTGGACCGGATTTCGATCGGTAAAATATTGTCATTGTGCCATATTTTTATTAGAAATTGAGAAACATTCAGAAGCTCTGTCGGCACTCGAAGCGTTGCTGATCTTCAGCCATTATACGGGTAATCAAATTTTTTCATAGTAGACAACTGATGAGCTAATCACATGGTCTTCAATTGATGATTGCAGTTCTTGTTATATTTTGTCTATATCACTGTTGCTCCATCAGCTAAAAAGTATGCCTTTTCCATAAATTTTACATTTCTCTTTGTGCGCCTATATCTCAAGCTATTTATACTCTCGGTCGCTAGTCTTTTCACTCCTCAAATATGTCTCTATTTTCCTTTACGTTGCATCCGATCACAGCGAAGCTATGTATTTAGAAAACATTCTTTCTTTCTGAGTTTGCCCCCAATCTGGCTAATTTTATTTTTCCACAAATTTCTCGTAAGCATTAATGCAATTTGCATTCGTGCCAAGTCAATTTGCACATAATTTCTCTTTTGTCACTTTCGCAATTGAAATATATACCATTTCCTGCGATCCACCAAAAGAAAATTTTAAATCTCACCACATCCGACGTGTAGACCTTTAAATGCTAGTCCAATTGGCCTTCATAATATTTTTGTTATTGTTGTTTATAGCAATTTGTGGTGGTTGTGTTGCAATTTGCATTCATTTGTCGGATGAGCACATTCTGCTGGCAGCCAGCGTCTCTATTAGTTTTACTTTCATGGTTTTTGGCCAAACCACACACAGTGTCTTAAAAGACTCTGCACGTTTGAATAGGGTATTAATGAGAATTTAATGGCATTTGGCACCGAACATGGAAATGCCTAAAATTCAAAAATATTATTTTCGCTTCGTATTTTGGTTAAAAAAGTTGAAAATTGTTGAAAATTCATACACTGAATTTTCATTGCATTTTTCGATATAGAAACAATCTATCTGGGAATCTCAACCCAGTTTTAATAATATTTCATATTTTCTAAATAACTCAGAACGGTTGTACCATTCGACTATGACTATGATCTTGCCATTATTATCGTGACATCAGTTGTGACTACGATGGATTTTAGAAGCAGTTCTCACTCTTGGGATTTCTTATTTTCGACCCCCAGGATACATACGAGAACCAGTGCCTTTAGGCGTTGAAAAAACAACATCTGACCACAGTGAAAAGAGGATGGACACACACCACCTCTTCGTCGATTTTAAAGCTGCTTTTGACAGCACGAAAAGAAGCTATCTTTATGCTGCAATGTCTGTACTTGGTATCCCCACAATACTAATTCGGCTGTATAAACTGATGTTGAGTAATACCAAAAGCTCCGTCAGGATCGGGAAGGACCTCTCCGAGCCGTTCGATACCAAACGAGGTTTGGCGTTGCCCTAAGAGCTCCATTTATGCATATACTAGCTGTTCTTATGAAAGGATTACCTTAGTTTGGTTTTTTTGAAAGCTTTCTCTCTAAAATTAGTCCCAAGTAGCTTAATTTCTCTACTATTATTATAAACTTACTATAGCTTCTGGCCTCTCAATTCAGGAACTCTATCTTTTCGCTGTCATAAGCTAAATAAAATATGAAAGAATAAGGTTCTGAAAGGCCTCATGTGCGTCTTCAGCTAAATTGCTTATTCTATTTAAAAAACTTTAGCTGAAGGAAACTTCTCTTTGAGGATCCCCCATAAAACGATGAAGGAATCTATTAGCTCTTTCATGACGGGATTTTTAACACTCTCTGCTTAGTTGACTAAAAATATACATTTACCTGCTTCACGCCCTGAGCGAAGACAAACTTCGTTTTTGTTATGGAATAACTTGAGCTATCAACTCGTTAATAGAATAATTCCGAAAGCAATGTCAAGCTTGGCAAACCCATTCTCGCTTCAATATTGTTCACGGCTGAAATCTATAGCTGAACTCTGTCACCGAATGTTAAGATCTCTGATTGTTGGGGAGGTAAAATAAGAATATTTAATCGGTATTCCTTCCTTCCTCACTTATGGCACATGGCAGAAGCGGGACATTTCAAAAGGGCTGGGTGCAAGTGGATTTGGTACTTATAGTTTAGTGCATAAGAATGATTAATCTCATAAAAAAATATATGCTCGGAACGTTTTCTGTTGGATATATCGGAGCTCATAGTAGAGACGGTGTTTACGATATTTATAAATCACCTTTTTCCAAGAGAGATTATATGATTTTAAAGTGTCGTTTCGGTCATTTTTAGTATAAATGGATTTGTAATTTTTTCCATTGTATTCGTATTCAGTAAAGTTTACAATTTCATCGTGGAAAGATATGCGTCGAATTGTTGAAAATGTTGAGCGTTCATTTTATTTACATAATGTAATATAAATAGACGTTTTTTGACAGATCACACGTGAGTCTTGTCAAACTGTCATATTATTTTTGTTAGGTATTGTTTGGCATTTCATCATGGAAACACCTTTCCAAGCGAACTCGCTTCTCCCTAGGGGCTCTTGAAAATTTCTAAGAATATCTGACGTTTTCGAGCCAAATTTTGTTCAGCGGCCGAATTTGCATTTCGTACGAAGTGCAAAAATTGAAGTGTTGATATTTCATCCGGAAAAAAAGACGGTTTGGTGTGGTTTGTGAGCCGATGGAATCATCGGTCTATATTTATCCAAAAATTATGCCGGTGAGAACGTAGTTTCAACAAGACCGCACCACTTTCACACATCATCTCATCAATCAATAGATTTATTGAGAGAACACTTCGGTGAGCAATTAATTTCACCTTGTGGACCGGTCAATTCACACCGTTAGACTTTTTTCTGTGGGTAAGCGGACAATAACGATTTGGAAGCTTGAACGAGTATTTGAAAATTGGAATCATTGGATGGACCATCTGAGACGTAGCCGTAGCCAACATTGGTAGAGTCAAAGAATGTTCTTTCGTATGATAATAAATATTCATTCCCTAGTAAATTTGATGTTTCTGTGTTTTAGTTTAAGAAAGTAATCAACCTCGATATGGATCTCCCTTTAAAATGCATAATACTATTTTTCCACCTCCTTCTCCTCCTTCCTTAAAATTTTGACTTCAATTAATGATAATTACGGGACCAAATAACGCATTACCATAAGATATTTATATATTCCAAACCACTTTAAAGTGCTCAAAAACTCAACCAAACATTTCTCTTTCAGATGGCCTGCAGCCGTTATTTCAAATAGTGCAACGGATTTTAAAGGGAATCTCAACATTTCCAATACCCGAACATACAAGCCCATGGTAATGCCTACAAACGGCATACAAGCGTTGAGATCAACAGCAGCGACAACAGCAATTGCAAGGCAAGTAACGGAGCAAAGTGACAGTCGACATTAACTGTAAATACCGAAACACTCAAGGCAATTGTTTCGGAAGATACGCTAAAGAGCGGCTTCAAAGCGATTACTGGCCAACGGTACAAAGCAGGTGCCCGACAACATAGTAAGCCATGCCGTTATGTGCATGGTGGCACAACAAACGAACACAAACCCAACGACAACATAATCATTGTGAATGTCAAACAGTGGCATCAATTGCAAGTCGAGAGTTGCCAGCCGTATAACAATTATTGCGAAGTCGCGTGGGCTTTCCGCACTTAAGCGTTGCCCCGAGCAAGCACAGCAACAAACAACATCAACAACAACAAAAACAACAAATATTGGCGAGTCACCATAGCAGCGCGATGAGTGTGGACGTGGCAGCAAGCAGGCAGTATAGTGAAAACACTACAATAACAACAACATCCGCAACAACAACAACAATAGCTGCAGATACAGTTGCAACCAAAGCACCGCAATGGTCGAGATGGACAGCGCTTCGGTGGCCGATTGGTTTATGCGAAATCGGCGAATCTACGACAACAACAACAACAACAATAAATTGCATGGCTACAACGAAAGCTTTGCAGTCAAAGCGAGTTGATAGCAACACTTGCCGACAGCAACGTGATGAAGATGACCGCAACAACAACCACAACAACAGCAGCAAAAACAACAACAACAATAACAATAACAAAAGCAGAGATATCAATGTCCCCTCAGCGCAACGAGTCGGAAGTCAAAAGCGAAGGCAAATACAGCAACAAAAACAGTTAGGCCAACAATGTAGCATGCACAAGCAACGCCAAAAACAACAACAAAATTGGCGGCATTATCTGCTGCAGCCACTACAACGATGCGCATCCGCCAAAGACGCTGACGCCTGCTGGCCCACCCGCTTTGCCACAACCCTGAAGCAACAACAACAATGGCTGCGCTTTTGCCTTTTGCTCGTCATTTGCCTGTCACTGCCCTCAGCAACGAATACGAAACCTCAGACCTCAGCAACAGCGCCAGCAACAATTGCCAATGCACCAACAACATTGCGAGCTACACTAGCAACAACAACAACAGGAATACTAATAACAACAGCAAAGCCGACAGCCACAATCAGCCAAACGGCGCAGTCGGCAACTGAGAGTGATGACAACATTGTGACCAACGAAACTACCAACTTCACGCACACGCACACGCACACGCGCCACACCACAAACAACGCTCACGGAAATGTCATCATTCCTTCAACCCAGCTCAGCGTAAATTCAACGACCGCATCAAAAGCTCCATTGCAGACGTTGGCGGCGCTCACGGTGGGTGCGTTGACAGTGTCAACAGCATTGCCGGTGGCAACGCAAACATACACATCCACAACGCTGTCATCATCAGCAGCAGCAGCAGCAACAATAGCACGGCAATCACACGACACAACAACAACAGCGGCAACAACAATGCTTGACTGCGCCGTCAATGCGTTGGCGGAAGCGGAGAGCAGCGGAGGTGACAAGCCCGATACGCAAACGGCATGGAATGCGCACTCCGTCAATGGAATGCTGCATGACACTGCAACAACAGCAACAACAAGCGAAAATGAATCACCAACAGCTAAATATCACAGTAGCAACAATAATATCATTCGCAATGCGCCCAGTGGGAGCAACACTAGGCATAGCATGCAGCAACTTAGTCCCACAAATGCTAACACCGACAGTAACAACAACTACATAAGCGAAGACGGCGGCTTGAGCAGGATTCGCCACCATCGTGCTACACGTTCCGTGGGTCATGGCAGCCCCGGCAGTGTGGGCTTAAGCGGCAGCAGTTTCGGTGCTGTGAGTCAAGGTAGTGGTGGCAGTGGGTTGACGGGGAGCGGCAGCAGTGGCGTTGTTGGCCTCTCGAATACGAACGATGGCGAAAATAATAATCATAACAGTATCGAATGTCCCAGTTTCGATGAGAATTCGGCGTGTCCGTGCTACAAATTCGAAGACGGTGAGTTTTATATGTTGTTTACTTGCCGTTACATAGCGAGATACAAAGGGTGACTTATTTAAGGGGTTATATCTACTGACAAGTTCAAAAACACCTTTTTTGAAGAGAAATTAATATGTAGTTATACATTTTCAAAATATTTTGTACTTTAAAAATCGACGATTCATTGCCTGTCAACTTTTATCAAGAAGTCGGTGTGAAAATTTGAATTCGATCCGTGCAGCCGTCTCGGAAAAATTTTATTAGTGAACAGTATTTCGAGGAAATGGCTGAAGCAGCGGATTTCAAAGTATTAATCGATGGACTTATTTTCACTTTTCTCTGTGGTCTAACGAAACTTAAGCTTCAAAAGTACCAAGTCGCTAAAACTAATAACATGGTCAAATTTTATAAAATCGTATCGGAGAACTCCTTAAAAATATCTCTCATAACGAAGTACTTTCGATAGAAGTTACCAAAACGCATATTTCAGGTTGGCTGTGGCAATGTTATACATCGGTATGAGCAAAAACTAATAAGACATTACAAATAATTTTAAAATTCTCAATTTATGCTTGGAAATCTCCTCAATGCAGTCTTAAATGCGGGTGTCAAGCATTCCTTGCTTTTGAATGCATTGTTTTTTAAATATTTGGAAATAGCTGTTTGAATGATTCCCATAGATTCTGCGAGCTCTTCTTGTACTTGAAAATAATCTTCATAGAGTAAAGCTTCCAGTTTATCATTCCTCCTCAATCTTTTTTGGCCAATCGAGAACGTTCTTCGTTTTCGAAGTCAAATCTCACCCTTTTAAATTATGCAAATCACTTTTGGAACGCTCGTTTAACTAGAGCATATTCACCATAAACTTTCTCCAAAATATAATGAATTCTGGCTGAGGCTTACCTCTTATTAAAGTAATGAAGCGGAACTCTCTGCATAAGCAGTTTTTGACAAGTTTCGACATCTGTGAGTGGATAAAGTTTGCTATTGAGAAGAACAGTAGCTTTCCAGCGCTCGTTTGGAATATCGGTAAAATGGAATAATACGAGTATTTAAATTACGTCATCTCTTGGATTAGCTATAGACCCTATAATAAACATACTTTGAAAGAAATAAAGAATATCCTCTAACTAGCTTTGAGTAGACGGTCTACTATCGGAGTGAGTCCGAAAATTCCTCGAAAGAGGTCGCATTCCAAGACCGTGAGTGTTAAGTCTAAAGCTTCATCGCTTCGCCAGAATTAAAAGAGCTCATATGATGCCATTTCAACCGCTGACAGGTATAAGAGCAACGAAAAAGTCAGCAGGAGTTTGCACAGCGTCAGCAGTTTCTAAATATAATAATTTGGTGGGGGCTTCAAACTTTAAGATTATGGTATGCGCGAATCGTTTGTTTCAACATATAATACCTATGAAATAAATATTAAAGTATTATATTTGTTTGCATTATCGCCCCTAATTTCGGAGGTATATTGAACGTAGAAAACTCAACCTAACTTTTATTTCAACAAATTAGTAAACAAGGATACGTAGCGGCAGCAAATAACGGACAGGTGCGATTGAACACTTCTAAATGAGAATTCAAAGTATTTCAAATGATATCCAAACAACACAACAAACACACACACACAGGCTGTTTCAATAATAGAAAATAAATAGAATTGAAGTGCTATTTCCTCAAGCACGTTTTGCAACAGCACAACACTAACAAATTGACTAGTCTAATGCCACATCTGCAGGTAAGAACGTGTTCTAGTGGCACTTGGCAGGTCCTCATCTGCGTACGAGAATGCTTATAACGGTGCTAATCCATATGTTAACACATATTAACAACTTTTTCCCACACGCACACCCACTCACTTACTTATCCAGCGCTTCAACTTGTTTCTTTTCTTGTTCTTGTAATTCGCAGGCTTATTTCTCGAGTGTCCCGGCACAACGGCCATGTCGCTGCGCAGCACATTGGAACGCATCTCGTCGCCGATACATTCATTATCCATTTATGATTTCGATCGTTCGGTCACGTCGCTCTCGCAGGATGTCTTTCAGCCAGGTGTCAATATAAGGCATTTGCAATTTTCACACTCACACTTGGAGACGCTAAAGGATAACAGTTTGCGGCATGTACGTGCAACATTGGAGTCGCTGAGCATTGTTAATGGAAAATTAACACAGGTATGTTACCAACCATACACACACACACACTCACATATCAACATGCATTTTATCCGTGCGTAAGAAAACCTAAACAACAACAACTACATGAGCAAAACATTAACGAACTTGGCAAAGTGCGGTGGCTGTAGCCAAGCGGTAAGCCGACAAACCAGTAGAGAATGTATGTTTATGCACAGTGTTACCAGTTCGTCTAAATCGTGTCATTTTTTTTTTTTTTTTGTCTTCACAATGTCGTGTAATTTTTATTTTTATTTTTTTTTTTTTTTGTTTTTTTTTTGGTCTTCGCAATGACCAAACCTTACATATCTATGAATTTAAGCGTCCGACTTTGAGCCACTAAACTAAAATTTATTTTACTTCTAGCAAAACTAAACTGTTTTTAGTGATATGCAGTAGTATAAGTTAATTTGCGTAAAATAAACTACATGCAGCAATGAGTTATGAAAACCCTTGAGAAATCTCGAATATTTCTTTCAAATTTGGAATATTTATAAATATTGAAAATTACATTTAAAATACAGTATTTAATAAATAATTAAATTTAAATTAAAAAATTCAGGTATAGGTCAATGTCAAGCATCTATTACGTCCAATGTTGATACAAAACAGGAAAACAATTTAACTTCGGCTTAATAATATCATTTTTAATAGCAAGATCTATATAAAAGACTATATTTTGGTTTTGATCGATCAGTATATATAATATAACAGCTGTGTGCTACAGAAATACGATCGGAATATTTTCTCTCAAGTTTCAGCGATGTCTCGGATGATAAGCTGTGCCAATTTTTTGATTTAGTTAAGCGTTTGCGTAATATTGACAGCTTTTTGTTAGCAGTAAATTTCTTTTAACTTCGGTTGGAGCATGTTATTGGGAATGAATATGCCTCCTCAATATCGCATATAAGATTCTATCGAGCGTATTGTGTGAAAGATTAAAGCCCACCGTCAACAAACTGATTGAACCGAATCAATGTGGCTTCAGGGCTAGAAAATCAACAACTGACCAGATATTCACCATGCGCCAAATCTTGGAAAAGACTTATGAAAAGAGGATCGTCACACACCATCTCTTCGTAGATTTCAAAGCTGCTTTTGACAGCACGAAAAGCTCCGACAGTATCGGGAAGGACCGCTGCGAGTCGTTCCATATCAAACTAGTTTTTTTTTTTTTATCGTGCGACTTCTTTAATTAGCTAATGGAGAAAATCATTCGAGCTGCAGAACTAAATATAGAAGGTATCATCTTCTATAAGAGTGTACAGTTGCTGGCGTATGCCGATGATACTAATATCATTGGCCTCATCATCTACGAGGTTAGTTGGGCTTTCTGCAGACTGGTTAAGGAAGCAAAGCAAATGGATCTGATTGTGATAGGAAGAGAAGTCGTAGATAATTTTGTTTATCTTGCAACCAGCATTACCACCAACAACAACATCAGTCTTGAAATCCAACACAGAATAACTATTGGTAACATGTGCTACTTCGGACTTATTAGGCATCTGAGAAGTAAAGTTCTCTCTCGACGAACAAAGACCAAACTCTACAAGTCACACCTACTACTTCCGTTCTACTACAAGTATATGATGCAGAGGCATGAACGATGAAAGCATCTGATGAGTCGGCGAGTTACGAATTTTCGAGAGAAAGATTCTGCGGAAGAATTATGGTCCTTTGCATTAGCAAATACGGGGAATACTGCAGTCGATTGAATGGTGAGCTGTATGAGATGACTCCTACGCTGGCTAGGCCATGTCGTCCGAATGGATAGAAGCACTCCAGCTCTGAGGGCTCTGAGAGTATTCGGCGCAGAGAAAGAGGAAGACCATGCATATTAGTCAGATCGAAGCAATATAGCGTTATAAAAACTGATCGATCAGAATCAAGATAACCATTTTTTATACACCTGTGAAGGCTGAACAAATTGTACTTTTTTTTTTTCTTGAAATAGTTACAAAATTTTATGAAAATCAAACTATGAGTACATATATTTAGCAACATTTTGAATGGCTGCATGCCACAGTGCACGGTGTTAGATTAAGCATTGTCTGTCAGCCGTTGATTGTAACGAAGCAGGTAGTAAATTTAGTTATGCAGCATATTTCAGGCGCACCAACACCAACACACGCCACACGCCGGCGATATGTTGATGATATGTAAACTTCAGCAAATTTGTAATTGCATGTGTGTGTGTGGGAGTATTTGTGCATACTTCTTGCATAGGTTTTGCATGCGAAGAATGAAGAATTGGCAAGCGTGTTGGTACACAGACTCAGCTGAGAAGTAGCGCTCACAACTGGATTGGAACAAACCGCCCGATCCGATCGTCTTACGTTTGAATAGCTTTGCTGCTTCGGTTGCACTCATCTTTGCTTAGCACTTTGCACACTTCACACACTTCTTCCTTAGCACCGCCGTCTTGCCGCCTTGCTCTTCGGCTGCTTGGCGGCTTTGCTCAGCTGTCGTCCACATAACGCATGAGTGCGTCTGTCAGTTTTGTGCAATTTGTCTACCTGTCTGCCGCCATGTCTGTCGGCCGCCTAACTGTATGTTATTTTCTTCGACTGCTGTTAAAAACGTGTCAGCAAATATTCGCCCGAAATTACGCATTCATGCATTTTGTGTTGGTTTCATGCGAAATGTACGTGCCAAACGGGCTTGCAACAGTCCTCCACTACATCTAGCAGTATTATGCTTACACACACATACACACGTACATGCATACGTGCGTTATGGCCGTACGTTTTTGTGGCAAGCACGTTTACGAGGATTTGCCAAATTGAAATTTCGTAAATAATATTCTTAAGGTGAATATTTAATCCATTGTATAATTTATTCGGAAAGGTCGTGTCTCATAATGCTTCTTCTTTAGTAGAATTGTCTGTTTATTGACTGAAAGTTAAAGGATTGTGTTATGTTTGAATCTTATTTAACTTTAGTAGACTTTGCAACCATATAATCAGTAAAAGCTAAAAGTGAATGTTTATGGCAAAGCATATGCGAGGTGGACACCAAAGTAAAGAGGACTAAAAAAACAAATGATTTTTTTCGGCAAAAGCAATTTATTTTATTCGAAATAGTCTCCTTCTGCTGCAATACAGCTTCTTGCACGGTCCAAAAGCATGTCGAAATAGTGTTTTAGCTCGTTGGGCCGCCAGTATGGCGGTGCAAGCCTTTTGAAAGGCCTCTACGATAAATGTATTCTTCCGAAAAGGAAGAAGTCACACGGTGCCATATCAGGTGAATACAGGGAGTGGATAATGGTTAAAATATGATTTTTGGTCAAATAATCGTCAATGATGTCCTTCGCATGTTGGATTCTGAGCAATTTTTGGCCGTCAGTCAATTTGTGCGGAGACCAAATGTTCGATCAAATACGATAAATCTATGTTTTGGAGATGTTCAATTCCATTTTCATGAATTTCAATGATGTAGTCGATGATGATTTCGGCTGATTTTTGATGAACTCACGCACAGTTTCGATGAAATTTCCGGTGATGACGGATTTTGATTGGCTCACATGTTGATCGTCATTTATGCCCTAACTAACATTTTGAAAACATTGAAACCACTCATGCACTCTGCTACGGGATAGGCAATCATCGCCATAAACTTGTTTCACCAATTGGAACGTTTCGATAGAAGTTTTACCAATTTTATAACAAAATTTAATGTTGGCTCTGTGTTCGAAGCTCATTTTCGCATCGATAACACAAACATACTGACACTTAAAACGCAATAACTTCACTTCCAATTAATGAAATTTCACTGGACATTCGATAAACATAGCAGATTTTAACGCACCAGTCGACATTTAGATGGCGCCACCAGGTGACGCTAGATTCAAAAAGTCCCGTTTACTTTGGAAGGCACCTTTTATTAAAGTTGAGATATCTTATTCATATTAACCAGAATGATTTATGACGAGTTTTATTTTTAAATGTGTATTTTTTATTAAGTCGATACCTTTTCGCAGTTGGTCTTTCTGACAGCTGTTAATTTGCTTATACGCAGCCTGCTTTGCCATTTAATAATGGATAGACATAGTCTCGGAACTGCGCTAGCAAATTGTGCAAAATCTAGCCCAAAACGGGATGAACACCGATCCCAATTTTCACAAGAATATTTTGTTCAGCATGGAAGCTCTCTCTTATTTTTAAACTATTTTTTAGACACTTTTCCTTAAGTTGGTAGAATTTCGCCAAATCTTTTGTAATTTAAATCGCCTCCATAACTATGTATAAATTAAAGACTTCGATAATACTTTCCAAAGTATATGTTTAAACTCTTTTGACACACGTTTTCTAAAATTGGCAACACTATTCTAACGAATTCAAAAATTTGCGCGAAGACTTTTCAAAAACATTCCACAAAGCTTGTTCAAGCCATTTACTTTTCACGTAAAATATGTAATACTTTGCACAGCTGTCGCTTTGCACCATTTTTGCTAGATGGCATCTCTTTTCAAAGATTTTACCATGCGACAACACATCATAACATCTTTTACAGGAATATATTCAATGATCCCAATTTTCGAGTACTTTTTCCAGTTAATCAAGTCGTATGCCATGAATAACACGTTCAATATTGACTTCTAAAGCTTGAAGATCGTCTGGTATATTGCTTCAAACCGATAACTTCAAATGAACTCAAAGGAAGTAATTTGAAGATGTTAAATCACAAACTCTTGAAAACCACAGATTGTCACAATATCTTGAAATAAGCGAATATTCAAGATTTTCTAATAATTATTCAGTTTTTGCAAGTTCTGTGTGTCACGTAGCCTCGTCTTATTGAAACCAGATGTTGTCAATTGTTGTTCATGAATAATTCGTGGATTTTTTTAGACAAGAATCGACAGCTTTGTTTAGTTAAGGTACCACTCAGATGAAACTGAGCCTCATCGTACAAGATGATTTTCCTAAAAAATTCGTTATCGTTTTCAAGTTGTTCCAAGACAAAATCAGCAAATTCACGATGTTAACGATGGTGCAATAGCCTCAGTTCTTGAGTGAAATAAACTTTGTTTTTTAGTAGTCACAATTCTTGAGAACGATTGGAATCGACAAATTGTCGCCTTGAGCACTGCCTGCTTAAATGACAGCAATACTTTTTTACTTCGATCGATTATTTGTCTTATTGGCACTTAAACATTATGTAAAGTAAATGTGCGCTCGACATTTTCAACAATCCGACGAATAGCGATTCGACTGTTGGTGGTTTGATTTTGTGCGTAAGTTACATGTTGACATTTATATGTATGTATGTATGTAAGTATATATAATACATACATATATATGTGCGTGTATTTCTTGTAATTAGAGTGATTTTATTTTTTAGCTACAGTGATTTGCTTTTCTTTGCTGCGACGGCTGGAATTTTGATGTCTGATTACACAGCTCATGGAAGGTTGCAATTGGAAACGATTATGACAATAGTTTTAATTTGAATTTTGAATAATTTGTTACCGTTTACAGATTATCACCTCTTAAAAATGGTCGAAATGACATCTAGAAATCATATCATCCTCATAAGAAAACCCGGTACTTTTTTTTTTTTTTCTTGGTTTGTGCGAAAATATAAGAGACTTTTTCATATAGAAGTCTTACAATCAGACCTTATACATATATATATGGATGGTTTTATTTTCAACAAACTGGAGATAGTAATAATGTGTATCATTAGGTATTGAACTGTAGTTAAAACCTGAGTAAAAATCCGGAAGAACTTAAAAGAACCTTCGATAAATAATTGCCGATCAAATCTGTGCTTAAGTACAGTAGTAACTATACACCTGTGGTCTGGTAATGCAATGTATTGAACGATATAATCGGATTTTTTCTGACTTAATTCCAAAGTGAAATAGGCGATTTTATACTATCCCAGATAGAAATGGAACTTGTTCGCTTTCACATTCACATCCAATGTTCAATGTACCATTAAACTTAGCTTTAAGGTCAAGGATAACAACCCTTTGTACGTCTCTGTGTGACGGTATATTCATTTTCTTGTTAATGAGATGTTGAAGCTTACAGCTTGAACCGACACTGATCGTTTTCTACTTTGATACAACTTATGAAAATGCTAAAACATTCGCTCAGTGATGTTTCGAAAGACTTCGAGGGTTGCGGGATGACAAAATCTGTAACCCATCTTATTTCTAGGACAGAAATTAGCAAAGAGAATTGATCACTTTTTATACAACGAGCACGTGAGCACGTGAGTACTTTTCTCATATCTGCTACTCAAATAATAGTTTGTTAAAAAAGTCTTGCGGTATTTTTATTGCATTTTTTTTTCAATTTTCAATTGTTCATAAATTTTTTTTTTTTTTTGATGACTCTTGCCCAGCTCTTGACCGATGCTACGGCTGCTACTATGCCTGTCTCTTTCGACCAATTCAGCGATTTTATCGCAATTTTCGACGACAGTCCTTTCGGAGCGTAGCGCATCTTCGACCACCTCTACACCAAAACGAAAACGTTGAAACCATCGTTGTGCGGTGGAAATGGAAACTGTATCGGGTCCATAAAGTGTACAAATTTTATTGGCGGCTTGAGATGCATTTTTGCCTTTATCGTAGTAGTACTGTAAAATATGCCGTATTTTCTCTTTATTTTGCTCCAATTTTTGCGGCGCTATAACTCACGAACGACTTGAAAGAAACGACAATCAATCAAACACGTGAAATGAGCTTTCCAAAAAGATATAGCATGACCCGATACGACGAATAAAACTAGAAGTACGCGCTCTCAGCGCCAACTAGCGAAAATACCGCAAGACTTTTTTCACAACCTAATATTACGGTTAGAAAATTCTGCAAATATTTTCACTTTAATTTTTTTTTGTTGTTTTACTATAGAGACCAAAATAACTTTCGTTTGGAACTTGACGAAGTTCAATTTTAAGCAAGGTATACTTTTTCATAATACTTCTTATCTCAGAGTACTTTTCCGATCTTTCGTCGATGAAATCCAAATAATTTCCATATAAAATTTTCTCTACATTTGAAGTAACAACTTCACAATTAAAGTAAGAACATTTTATTCTCACTTTAAAAATTTTAAAACAACTTTTACACAAACAATCTCAATTCCAAACACTTAACGTACTAAACAACAAGCACCAAATCTCCAAAATACCATTGAGAACATAAAAAAGCGAGCAAAGCATCAAAGCGCAGCTTAATTAGCCATTCAAATGAGGCAAGCTAGCATCATCGCAGGGCGAAGAGGGGAGCCGTGAGCAATAGCAGAAAGTAGACAGCGCAAATATGCCACTAAACAGCCTTAGAAATATTGTTTTCTACGTCATTAACTTTCAAATATACACCGAAACCACGAAATCTGTTTTGATAGCCGCGTTTGTTGTTGCCTTTATTGACGGCAATACGTATGAATGCCGCTGAAGGAGAACAGGATGAGTATAACGTTGAATGTTTTGCAACAACAAAGTCTACGCCGGCGAGAGGGATTTAAAAGGGAGTCTTTTTGAAATCTTAAAGTTATATACGAAATCATTTACATGCGTGTGTATGTGTGTTTGTGCGGAAGGCCAAAATTATGCAAGCGTAGGTGCAGAAATAACGGCGCTCAATAAAATAATTTACACTTTTGCCATTACGAAGAAGCGTGCAAAAGAAAAAAGCCGAAACAATAAAGGATATAACGCGGTAAAGTGTAGCACAAACATAATAAAAGTCAAATGTGCGCAGTTAGAATGTGGAATGCCACAAACGCACTGCTGCTAACCCCGTTCCGAACACATGTCGACACAGCAATAAAACTCGTAAAAGCAAAAGTGTGCCACGCAGTAGCTGTAAATCAAGTCCAATTACGGGAATTTCCAGTTCATTTCCTCAGCCGAATTGTTTGTGGCGTTTGCTTTTTACCGAGCGCACATTTGAATCGACGAAAAATTAGGTTACGTATACGCCATGCCACGAGTACGAAACGTGCGCAAATAAAGGAGCGAATAGGCAAAGTTAATAACCGGCAGGAATGTATGTTTTGTCTTATGAGAGGACAAATATTGTGGTTAAGGAATGCCGTTATTTTGAAATAAAAGATGGTGGACTTACACAAAGAATATAAATTTATACAGTTGAATTTGCCTAACTCGAATCATCCTAACCCACAAAAATAATGCGAGTTATAGAAATTTGAATAAAAAAAATAAATTTTTGAAAAAGCTGTGAAATTAATTTACTTCGCAGAAAGTTTTTCCTTATATAAACCATTTATCCTGTTCTTTTTGGCTGAACATATACATATTTTTTGCTTGTTTGATTGAGTGAAAAGGGATGGTAATCTGTTTAGTGCTTTGTATTAAAAATCGTATTTAAATATGAAATTAAAATTTGAGAAGAATGTTATCATATTTATTGGCTCGGATAGATTCGGTTCTGTTATAAATCCATCCGAGCAAATCTCATTGTCCACCTCAATATAATCTGTAATAGTTATATTGGACATTTAACCCATTTTTGACACAAGGGCATAAAAAGCAGAACTCACAGATTAATCGATGAGTTTGATAAATAAGAAGCAGCCATACACATATTTGATATCTGGATCCTTGAGCAGTTATATCGAGAAGTTTAGGCTTTAAGTAAAATACCGAGGTTACTGTTCAAAGTTTTATTCGAAGAACAACATTAACGTTTGATTTTTAGACTGTAAAGTGAAAGAATCAGATGGAAATTTTGTATATGAAAAGTAAGCGTGGCTCTCATCGGACTATACGACTTTGTTTTGCGTATGATATCGGAATATTTCTGAAGAAAACATCTTTATCATATTCAAAAATTTCAGGCCATATATTTGTGATGGAAGTGTCTGAACTATTTCTCCTTTTTCATGGTCATTGTTATTATCCAACTAAACAGTGCTTTATGAGACAATTTTCCAAGCCAGATTTTTATATATGCATACCTTTCACATTGGAAAGCGAGGTGGTAGAAAAGGAAGTTCCTTAGAATATACTTTTAAATATTTTTGATTTTGTAGTATCTTAACTGGTATATTAATATGTAACTACCCGAGGAATAACCGAAGTGACCCAAACGATCCTCTATTAACAAAATAACAGGGTTGCAAAAAAATTTAATAAAACTTTTAATCGTATCATCATATGCTCTATGCTATGTTTAGAGTGTAAAAATCTGGGATGGTGGTGTGACCCGTGTAAAATCGAGAAAGAACACAACATGTTTTAAAACATAGCTCCAAAATCAATATTGGTTACAATTTTATGAATGCGTTTCAAAAGACAAAATAAATTAAGAAACCCCGATATTGTATATTGAAGATATTTGCAAAATCCTTATGTTCTGTATTATATGACATTATATATATTTTTGTTGATTTATTAAAGAAATTTAATTATAACTATGTAATCGATAAATATTTTGATATCAGCGCCACCTGCCTCAGAGCAGCTTTCTAACTTCTTTTCAATACAGTGACCAGTAAATTAGTTATCATTCTGCACAATATTTAGTTAATAGTAACTAAGCTGATTGACTTATGGCGGCTTTGTCAATATTTGATCACTTCAGTTCTGATTAAAACAAAGTTTCTTTACCGATAAAACAATATTGGCTAAGTTAACCAGAACTTAACTGACATATGGCCGCTAAGCAGACAATGAGAAAACCGTCCTTAAATAATTATGAATCAATTACAAATTGATAAAATTGCTTCCAAATTTGACAGACGTTTTACTGTTGCTCTCAAGCAAAGATCTTTGAAAGTTCGGAATATCAATGCCTATCTATTCGAGTTTAGAGAAAGTAGTCCGATTCAGACTAAGGATGATCTAATGCCCACCGCCGTATCATCTTTTAAGTACCACAAAAGGTTTTCTGAATATTGATAATGTGGCTTAGCGTTAAAAACTTTAGTGCTGTTTTCTTATGTCTTAGTTATACTATCTCAATTGTAGATAAATTAAAAAAATTTATAGCACTTTTAACATCTTGACACTATAGGAAATGAAGAAACCTTGCAAACAGAAAAGGAGAATACTCGATGCAGAGAAAAGAATGTTCTTTAAAATATAGCTTGTTTTCGTATGCGGCTGGTAGAGGCTTAAAAAATGACAAAAAAAAAAAAAAAAAACAGGAAAGACTTTAACTTCGTTTGCACCGAAGCTACCCTTCACAAATGAAAAAGATTTCCATACAAGAGCTTAATTGTGATAGTTCATCTTCTATATGCTACAGCAATACCGTCGGAACAATTTTTTTGATAGAAATTGATTTCAATCGATCGGTTTGTATATGAACTATACCATACAGTAATGCGATCCAAACAAAAAACAAAAACCTGCCAAATTTCATGAAGATATCCCTCCAAATAAAAAAAACCTTTCCTTTCAAACACTTGATTCCGATCCTTTAGTTTATATAGTAGCTATACAGAATAGTGATGTGATCTGCATAATATTTTTGAAGATTGCACAATTTGTTTTAGACAATAATACTTGGCAAATTTCGTATAGATATCACTCCAAATAAAAAAGTTTTCCTTTCAAGCACTTGATTCCGACCGTTCAGTTTATATAACAGCTATATGTTATAGTGTATAGGTTTAAAAACAATTTATTCGGAGATGCTACCACTTATTTCAGCAAATTTTACGACCAAAATTCCACCATAAATTTATGAAGATATTTCCCATATACCAATATAAAAGAGATTTCCATACAAGAACTTGATTCGGAACGTTGAGTTTGTTTGGCAGCTATAAGCTATAGTGGTCCAATGTTGGCTGTTCCGATAAATGAAAAGCTTCTTGGGAACAAACGGAGATGTACAAAATTTCAGATCGATATCTCAAAAACTGAGAAATTAGTGTCCCCGACTTTTCCTTCTGGTTCTTGCAAACTTCTTAGCAACTTAGTATGCCCTGTTGTCGGTATAGAAAAGCTTAAATAAGTGGAGACTAGGTTTAAAAATTGTATTCGCAATAAATACATTTTATTCATTTCCTTTCTTTTTATCAAATATTAGGTCGCACGTTTCAGAATGTCTTCTGTCTGAATGCGATAAAAATAGTACTTTTTGATACTTGTCACACTTTTATACTACTTTTCACACAGTTTTGTAACTATAAATAGCAGCAGTAAAATATACATAACTTTATTCGACTACCTGCCTTAGTAAAGAAATCTATCCTCATTGAAAAGCATTTCAAGGACCTAACACCATGTCTTCTAAACACACTTTGCTCCTTAGTAAGTATGAAACAATTTTCTTTACATTTTTTAACAAAGTCCAACTCTTCTAGTTATGTTGGCCATCTTTATTTTTACGTCATTGTTGACTCAAACACATTGTGCTTTTTTGAAATATTTCTCTGCAAATGAGCAATCCAAATCTGTATTGGGCCATCTGCGACCAGTAAGGCAGGGATCACTTCCGATACCGCGACTAGCATTTCAGGGTAATGCGCCTCAACCAAGACCAGCCAGGCAAGGTTCACGACCGCCGACGCGGCCAGCTGTCCAACCCGGGTCAAGTGGAGCAAGACTAGTTGGTTCAGGGCAATGATAGAGGCCAGCGCAAAACTCTTAGCAGAGTTTCGAACCATAGCTTAGAATAAAGCATGATTTCTTTTCTTTTTTTACTAATGGTACACCATTTCGTAGCAGAAATATAGTAATTAGATAAAAGTATGTATATAACATTAGTAGTTTTACTACGAGGAATGAAAATGAAAATTGACACGGAAGATTCGTGGTATTTAAACAATTAAAGTTTTATTGTTTTATAAATTTGGAGAATTCTGCACATTTTGGCTTTAAAGTGTTTTCCATTGAAACCTGAAAGCATTCTTGGTAATGGATTGACTTGTTTACTTCTCCTTTATAAGAAGACACTGCAACAAAACATCTTTCAGAAAGCAGGCGCCACACAAATCTTAATTTCAGTTGTTATTGCTATTGTTTGTGGACCTGTGTAGTCATATGTCAGCCATAACAATAATATTATAAAAACAATTTATAATGTAAAACCAATATTTATTACCCAAACAATGGCTGTTTAGCCAGAGTAAAGAAAATTTGTATAATGGAAGAATCTTCATGCGTCTTCTTCCGTAAAGACATTAAGACAAAGTCGAAGTATAAAACTACCGCCGAACTTACGGCCAGACATCACTTGAGCCTCAACTTCCCAGTCGCGATATTTCCAGCATTATGTCCACAAATTTATTAACGCTCCGTAAGTTCTACTTTTTCATTTTATAAAATCCTTTCTCATTCCAACATTTATATTCTAGTTTTTGGCGCTACATTGGTAGTGGCCATATTTATGATAACTAATGCTCAGCCCGATGTGTCTGTAAGTATGCTGCCAGTGTTGCCTGTAAGTGTATTGCCAGTAGGTTTAAAGTTCCAAAAACAAAGAGTTACGAGACCAAGTATACCAACATGGAGACCAAATATACCAACCAGGAGACCCCCAACAAGAAGACCAACTTTCCCACCAACCAGAAGACCAACACCACCAACCAGAAGACCAACACCAATAACATTGAGGCCAACACCGCCAACCAAAAGACCAACACCACCAACTAAACGCCCACCTACTTGGACTGTAACTATAACCGTAACTAGGAAACCAAGAATGGTAAAACGGGCCATACCGCGCAAATGTACTAAATCATCAAAATGTACGGCCGCCGGCCCAGCTCTATGCGTGCGTAGTCGAAATAAAAAGCTGTGTCGTCGGGTGGCCAATAGATGTGCCTTGCGGAAACTCAATTGTCAAGCGAAGCCTCGTAACAGTAAGTACAAATCTAAAACAAGTTGAAATTAAAAGTTTCCATGAATTGATTTGACTGTTTCTAACACAGATTGGGGTATCACGCAACAGACGCGTTGTGGTAAGCTGAAAGTTGGCGCGAAGGCAGAGAAATGTAAAAACTAGCGAATAAACGTATTTAAAATTGTAATAAAGAACAGTTTTGAAGCCTTTAAAAATATTAAGTATCAATATATAGTATATAGTATGTAGCTTATATATTATATAACAACCAAAATAATAAACCGATTGAAAAACTTTAAAAAATTTTTTTGCTTAAAATGTGGTGATTTATATCCTTTATAGTTCGAGAGGTAGGTAATTGGACTATCGCAGTTGCCCGACGAACAGAGTATTCAACAGACAGCCTTTCGATATCAGAAAAACAGATCTTCTAGCATTATGCTTTCAATGTTAACCAACAAGTAATTAGTTCGTTTATATTTTCTGTTATCGTTTATCACACGTACCGAAAACAAATGGCACTAACTACAAAACTCCTCCCTTCTAAATATTTGAAAGTTACAATTAATAACAAAGAAGTTCCAGCAACTTTAGAAACAAACAACCAATCAATTTATAGACTTTTTGATGTGGAATATGGTAATAACAATGATCTTTTCATATTGGCTTTCAGTTTTGAAAATAATCCCATGCTGATAGCTTTGGCGAATATGGAGGATAGTTGATGATGGAAAGCCGGTTTTTCCAATTCAGCTAGATTACTAACTTCTGCACGACCTGACAATTGACTGTTTGGTAATCGTTTTTCATCAATTCGTATGTCTCTGCGGGTTTTTCGAGAGTTTTACAACAAGAAAGAGTTTTACAGAAGAATACATAATATATTTATATAACTTAGTAAGTAATATATATATATATATATCTGGTATACATATATCAGAGTGACGAGCTAAGTTGATTTAGCCATGCCCATCTGTTTATCTGTATATACGCGAACTAGTCCCACAATTTATGAGATAACGACCTGAAATTTTGTAAACCTTCTTTTCTCTCCAAGGAGTTGCACTTTTGTCGGAGAGCTTTCCATTTGACGAGATATTTTCAAGAAATTTGGCATGCGATAGCATTTCCAAAGAAAATGACCAGATCAGATCACTAAAGCAATACCTTCTAGACAAAGAGAGCAATCTGTATAGATTAGAGACTCGATTTTTTTTGCTATAAAATCGCGTTATACTGAGAATATTCTACACATATTTCGGAACAACTATTTAAAAAATCTGACTAATCGCTTGTATGCGAGATATGATCGGAAAACTACGATCTTGCCGATTCTGACAAATGATCGATAAAATATCAAGTTACACCTATCTACTAAATTTCATAGGAATATTCCCAAAACTGGCGAACAAATTCTTGTAATCCCTAAAAAACAAAATCATCTAAAAAATCTTTGGCTCGAAATCGGTTTTAGATCATAGTCTGTCAGCCGAAGTTGTTCAGAATGATCCAAAGAACATTTCCCGCATACGCGATATTTCCGTTTGGCTCTCTCAAAGTCAACCCGCTCTAATATATACATAATTTACATAAGAATCTGCTCTCTTACGCTCTTTTCATATTTAGCTCTCTTGCCGAGAGTTGGCATTAATATTATCTACGCAACCAGTTAGTTTTTGAGGAATACGGAATCGAATCCAATCATAGCGAACTAACATTTACTTCGTTTCAAGTGCTAGCTCATAAATTTCCACAAATTCTTGTAATCCCTAAAAAACAAAATCATCTAAAAAATCTTTGGCTCGAAATCGGTTTTAGATCATAGTCTGTCAGCCGAAGTTGTTCAGAATGATCCAAAGAACATTTCCCGCATACGCGATATTTCCGTTTGGCTCTCTCAAAGTCAACCCGCTCTAATATATACATAATTTACATAAGAATCTGCTCTCTTACGCTCTTTTCATATTTAGCTCTCTTGCCGAGAGTTGGCATTAATATTATCTACGCAACCAGTTAGTTTTTGAGGAATACGGAATCGAATCCAATCATAGCGAACTAACATTTATTTCGTTTCAAGTGCTAGCTCATAAATTTCCACATTTGGGATAAATAAGTGGTATACCTGGACCAAAACATGCATGGCTTTCGCGGGCAAAAAACAGTTTTTTTTTAAAAAAAGAGGCTAGACAAAGACCTCTACTCCATTGAAAAAACTAGGTGGAGAGCGATATAATTTCGCTTGGTATTTTTAACGGGAGCCAAGCTTCCTAAAGAAGACGCGAATGAATTCAAGTTTTCGAAATTAAGATATCTCTGAACGGACTTGTGAACTACAAACTGTCAGACAGCTCACATAATCGATTGAAGCGACGTGGCTGATTTTCGTATTTTTTATAATTTTATCAAATTTATATAGATAGTATATGGTCTCACTTACCCCGATTTCTGCCTGAGGTTTCTGTAAATAGAGTAAAAAACAAAAATGTTTACTAAATACACATGTAAAAATTTATACTATTCAAAATTTAATTTTGTAGAATCAAAGCTGTCTGGTTCTACACATAATGGTAACGGTATACTAAGCAACAAAAAAAATAAAAGTATTTCAGACAATCCATTCACTAAATGCATTGATTTATCGTAAATAATTAAACAAGTGTTAAAACAAAGATCATTTGTTCCGCGAGGTCTTTTGAAGTATATAACATCGTAGAAACAGTTGTAAAGATATCAGTTGAGTTCCACACTCACAGTAAATCGAAGCAAGCAGTTCGGAAAATTGGAAAAACCATGAACAAGAATTTACTTACACTCCGTAAGTTAAAGAATCTTTCAACTAGATATTTTATTAATATGTGTATCGCATTTCCAGTTTTCGGAGCTACGCTATTAGTCGTCCTAATAATGATGTCTGAAGCTCAGCCTGGTCCAGAAGTCCAAGGCTGGTGGCCCACAAGGCGACCAACTAGACCACCAACACGACCGACTAGACCACCAACACGGCCGACTAGACCACCAACCCGACCGACTAGACCACCAACACGGCCGACCAGACCACCAACTCGACCGACTCGACCGACTAGACCAACCTATCCAACTTGGAGGACACCGCCCACTTGGAGAACACTACCGACTAGACCGACTAGACCAACACGGCCGACCTGGAGGCCTACTCGTGGTCCCAGACCAGCAAGAGCAGTAACAACTGCAGCAACAACTGCCGCACCTTCTGCATGCCCACGTAAGCCTCTCAGGTGTACCACCGCTGGTCCGTCATTGTGTGTGCGCAGTCGAAATGGAAAACTTTGTCGTCGCGTAGCTAACAAGTGTGCCTTACGCAACCTCAACTGTCAATCAAAGCCCCGTAACAGTAAGTATCGTTACCTAGTACAATCATACTTCATACATTTATGTATTATCTTTTTCATTACACAATCTAGATTGGGTTATTACTAATCTGAAGGGATGTTGCAAGCTTAAGGTAGGCCAACGTCCTGTTAACTGCAGGAGCCTATAAGGAAACGAGTGCCGAACAATCACGCAATAAATTTTTTAAATCGTTTAACTAATTAAGAAAATATTTGGAAATTTGAAAAGATTTAGAGACATTTGTTTCAATAAAGTCAAAAATTATTCTTTCAAAATAATATGTATTTTACTCTTGTTTAGAATGACGTCAATTCTAAACTATATTTTTGATATAACTATGGGTTCTGTAAAGTGAAAGGGATAAAGCGGGATTATATAAGAAAAAAAAAAAACAATTTTTGTAATGGAAAATTTCATTTAAATTGAACTTAATAATTTATTTTGAACTTTATTGGTGACAACACAATTTTCTCGGGAGCTATAGCAAAGATTTCTGTGCGAATGTTTGCCTTGAGTTCGTCAATACTTCAGAGATAAGAAATCTGGGTTACCAGTACACAGCTCTTCAATGTTACATCACATTTTCGGAGAAGTTCTATTACAAAAACTGAATTGTTGGATTTCCCGTTTGAAATGGTGAGGCGTCACTGTGAGATCAAGAGGCAGGCAGATTTTCTTCATAGATTTGATAGCAGACATAATGATGCAACAATCATCGATACTGAAATAACTACCTGAAGAGTTAGTTGTTGTTCATACAATAACATTTCAAATATCTCGGCTGGATATTATGATGCAACAATTTTACTTATTGAGACCGATAAAAAGTATTCAATTGGTATGGTCAATCTAAATCACTTTTATTGTAAATTATCGCAATTTTTCCGCTGTTTTGTTGTCAATCGATTCCTAGTGGCTGTGAACCGTGCCTAATCGGCTCTTCACGGTATTTGTATACACTTTCAGTTATATAGTACCCATAGCTCACTGCATGCGTCGAATATTGTCCAATAATGAATGCTGGGTTTCAAGATGGGTGATGGTGTTGCGAATAGTACGCTCAGTAGGGCGACTAAATTGGGCATAAGTTGAGCGAAACGTGAATAAAATTGAAGTTGACGAAGGTGGTCCGCTTTTCACGAGTATTTTCCAACATTTGGCGCATGGTAAATATCTGGTTGGTTGTTGATTTTCCAGTTCTGAAGACACAATGATAAAATCTAATTAGTTATTTGACGGTAGGCTATAACAATTCACATAAAACGCTCGATAGAACCTTATAAATGATCGGCCCCCGCCGCGTTGTTGTTCAACAGACCGGTAATTGCTACTCGAACTTCATCATGGTCGGGCAATGGAACATCCGCTCCATCGTTATCTATTTGGATAACTCATTATAATATACATATTTTAAAAAGTTTTATGGTTATTTTTTCATTGAAAAGTGTTGAGCTATTCGCAATGGTAAAAATTTTCTAAAATCTATAAAATAAAACCTGGTGACATTGAAGATTCCGATACCACTTTAATGGGGTATCCGTATACCTTCTTGTATCAAATTCGACGTCAAAGTGTTGCTATTGCAGCTGAATGGTGAATCAATGATACCCATATTTGGTAGAACTTTGGAATATGTGGGTGCGTAGAACCTACTGGGAAAGCTTATTTACGGGTGGGTCAAAGCTTATGATGAACTTTGGTGGAGGAGTATATTGTTAAGAACTATCTGTCAATATTACTTATAGAAATATTGACCACTGCAGCGTTTCTCAGCCGATGTTGCTGAAGGCTAATGTGGTTACGAAATCTCAGGTAAGTGCAAATTTAACAATGTGGCAAGAAAAGCCACCTTGAAATTGTCATCAAGGAATTGAAAGCAGGTCTTTGCTCTGTCATCTCGTGCGTCTTACCACTGTATAGCTACGCTTCACGGGAGTGTGGTCAGCGCTAAGCAACCAATATTTTTTGTTTTTGATCTAAAGTTGATCACCAGAGGTTTAGTAAGCTTTTCGTCCTCAGTAAGGTTAGACTTTTCTAGTTGTAAGGATTTTAGGCGATCGTTGGCTTTCATTGTCAAGGCGATGAGATTGAAAATTCTAACAGTTATCAGTTGTAGAAAAGTTGTTTGGAAGAAGACGAAGCAGTAATATATGTACGTTTCCTTTTTTAGTGTCGTCTCTTCTCTTAATCAAGGTTTAAACACCCATGAGTCAAGTCAACATAGAGTTTTGATTCTGTTGTTGACTTGACAAGAGACTGTACAGATGCGTTCTTGATTTTGAAGATCAACTATTGAACCTAACTTATCCTTTAGTTTTACAGCGGTTGGTACTTTCTGCCAAAGTTACTTTGTTTGATTCAACAATCTGCCAGTCAAAGGCTCTTTTGTCTATTATTATGGCATATAAATGTTTAAATTAATGATCAGTCTATATGTGAAAGAGTTTTTTCATTTAGTGTACATTAATCAGTCTTTTCTTCTGATACAGATATGAAGAGCAATGAACTTTTAAGAATTGTGTCAATTTACTTTTGTCTATTGAGTAAATATTGAGCTCAAAAGAATATCGGCAAAGAAGGCAAATGTGTTAAAAGTAGTAAGAAGTCACCTCTGCAAAAACTTAATTTTGTAAAGAAATTAACAGCAATTCAATAAACCTTTCTTATAAATGTCTTTCATTACAAGAAAATAAAGTAAATAGTATTTATAAATATAACAGAGACTTATAAAAATGAGTGGTGAAGGTTTTTGCACAAATAGTAGCCAACTACGGCATGTCTGGAGAACCACCATAAAACTTCCATAAACCGAGTATTCTCAAAATGTGTAAATCTATTTTAGTTTTAGGTGAGTAGAGAAACACTTTCGCCCTAGTCCTACATGCATATTTATCTAAGATAATTTATGAATTCGGACGTCTGCAGGCCTTTTCTTCACTGCGAGCGCACTGGCGCAATCAAAGTGTCCCGGCGAGTGTCGCATTAATGTGCCGAGCACATCCGTTTGCATTGTGCAACAGGACCCAGCGCAGTGCCTAAAAATCAAGGAGTGTACACTAAATGAGATGAACTGTGCAAGAAGGCGACAGAATATACCACGTGAGTGTTACGGAAAAATATTAGACTAGTGTAGCACCTAAATTCATTTACACATAGTGCTGAGCAGATCGAAAATCGAACGTTGCTCTCTTATACGTAGCGCCACTGGCAGCGGACGTTGCAGCGCCGTCAAAAAGTGCCAGAATATGAAATGTGACAACGATAAGGTGGTCCGTTGCCAACAGGCTGGCAAGCAGTGCCGACTGCTAACGAACTGCGCAGCGCGAAAGGAAAATTGTAATCGTCCACCGAATAATCGTACGTCAATTTTCATGTGCCTTTGTAAGTAATTTAAAATTGTTAAAAAAACATTTCAGAAATGCAGAGCGTTGGCTTTGCAGCTTGTAAAGGTTTCAAACGTACCGAGGGCTTCAAACTATGCAAACCGATGAAAAGAAAGAAGAAAAAGAAGGTCTCAAACAAAATTAAAAAGGTACTCAAAGGTTGAATACCCGAGTTCTAACCTGCCGAGTATTTTTTTGTAATATGACCTCTGAATGGAAATATATAAATAATTAAATAAAGTGTAGAGTAGTACTTTTTTGTGAAAAATTTTGATTATATCCTCTGGTGGGCATATTTTTCTGTCGAGGGTGAATTAATTGTGTACACGAAAACCGATTATAACCGGTCTGACACATAAATTGTGTCACTAGAATTGAATATATACAATTATTATTTAGCTCTAACTTGTAGAAGATGCATGTGTAAATTTGGCAGCTGTCGGATCATTAGTTTGTAAATTATATCATTTTGAGTGAAGCATCTTTGGTTATTGTGAAAAAATGGATAAACAGGAATTCCGCGTGTTGATAAAACATTGGTTTTTGAAGGAAAAAATATAGTTGCAGCTGAAGACTTGTCTTGATGACGAGTCTCTGGACACTGCTGCAGGAAATTTAAAAATCAAAGTTTGGTATGCTAAGTTTAGACTTGCACCGAAGAGAGTGGATACCGTAAAAATATTGTTACCGACGAAAACATCAAAAAAGTCCATACAAAAATTTCGAATAAATGTAAAGTGAAGTTGTTTGAGACAACAGGCACTCTAAAAGTATCAACTAAACATGTACATCATAACATTAATGAATATTTTAGTATGATCACTGACCAAACTGGTTGCCGCGCGCGCACATTTTTGACCAAAATCAACTACGAGCGGACGATTCATTGTAGTGTTTCGCGATATTACAAATATATTATATATAAACCTAAGGTTTTGTCGATATGTCAAATGTTCACCAGAACTAAGGCCGCTGGGGAGGCAATTTTGTCGAACGGAGAGGGATATTTTGAAATAAAGGAGACATCGTTATACAAAGCTGTTATCGAAAAGTTGGAGATTTCCGCCAACCTGGGCTTTTATAATCTTGCTATCCCATTTCATCGTTCTGCGCAAATAATTGTTAATATCGTTAAAATGACTTATATCCGTTATGCTTTTTATATACAGCCATTCACGGTTTTGTGCCTGATGGCTGCCAACTATTTTGTGTTGATTCCGTAATAGAAGAAGTAGAAAGCACCAGTGCTCCACTGCAGTAGCCGTGATATAGTATGCACATATTTCTGTAGACATTTATTAAGTCTTTGCTTTTAGTCTTATCTTCCTTGGGCCAAATCTGCATCATTATCTTTCTATCTATCATGAGCTATATGTTCAGAATGTGTATAAAGCTCTATTTTGATCATGCCCAGGCGAGTTTGGATTCTAACGTGCTTAAAGCCTTCCTGCAATTGTTGACTACGCTGCGATGAATACAGCTATGCCTTCGACTATTCGTGTATATGGTTGCTTTCTATATCTTTCTATAGTTATTCAATAGCATTTCCTAAACTTTCTCTATATCAAACACTTCCGCTTGGATGCTGGCTGAGTTTGGTAGCCATATAGAGAGAGATGCTAAGATTATTGGAGTGTATTCCCATCTCTGTGGACACGTCAGTGTAGTTAGCGGTAATATTCTCCTCTCTTACTAAACCTCTTTTTCATTCACGTGATTATTGACACCTGACTTTCGAAGAGTATTGTCGGGCCAAATAAAAAAATTTTCTTTACAATAACTTTAGTTCATCAATCTGTTTATATGACAGCTATATGCTATAGTGGCACGATATTAGCGGT